TATCTTGTATTTGTATTCTGTTCTGTTCCTACTCCTACTCCTACTCCTACTCCACTCTCTTTAAAGGTTAGGCTGGCATGTAGAATCTGGAATCTGATAATATCTTGTATTTGTATACATAGTTTTATGAATGGTGCAGATTTGAAGTTTGAAATATAATTTTGCCACCCTCAGATTGACCTTCCTGTTTAGTACCTTCCATGGCAGAGATCAAATAGAAAGGCTTTGATTTGAATCTGAAGAAAGAGGGATCCAAAGTCTCAAACTATTATTATGGATGTGAGAGACTTGCAGTGTTTCTCAACCTTGACAATTTTAAGGCATGTGGACTTCAACTCCCAGAATTCCACAGCCAGCAATGCTGGCTGTGGAATTCTGGGAGTTGAAGTCCACATGCCTTAAAATTGTCAAGGTTGAGAAACACTGGATAGGGAGCCCGGGAAAGGAGTGAAAAAAAAACCACAGACATAAGTTGTCAACAGACAACTCACAAACAGCAGTTTAACCCAAGTAGAAGAAAATCTAAATAAGTGTTTCAAATCTCTTCAAAGGAGAGTCCCTTTGCTCTCTTTATTGATGGTTATAGCATCCTTACTGCAGCTGAAAATTACATTGGGCTTGGAAACTCCAACTATTTTTCTAATGGCAAAGCCCACATCCTTTATGTCATCATCAAACCTTTCATTTGGAATTAGTTTCCAAGTTCTCAAAAATGGATCATGTATTGTGAAAAACGAAATCTTTGAACACACTACAAACGTCTTCCTAAGAACTTCAGTGTAACTTCCAATCATGTTGATTTCTCATTTTGTGGCATTGGCTTATACCCTGTTATTGTTTTCCTTTCAGCTATCCATCGAAATAAATAACACATTGTCACCTAGAGTGCAGTGTATTAACTTCCAAGAGTTGTTACTGTGATACAGTTTGAAAAGAGTAATAAATTGCTTTGAAATGGTTGTGCAGCTTTGTTCATTGATTTAGCTGCCTGTGAATGAAATGTTTCATATACAGTATGTGTATGACTTCAAGAATGATATTGGCATTTTGTACAACATTTTATTATCTTGCCAATTTGGTGATATTCTTGTAAGAGCATTTTGTGGAGCAGCGATATGGTCATAATACTTAAAAGAAGATGTTCTGTTTTTAAAAGATAAAATGTTATTTCCTGCAATTGTTTTGCAAATTCATCTTTACTTTATACATACTTTTAAGTTGATGAGTGGAAAGACACTTTCATTGTTATACTCATTGTTTACTTTCTATGTCCGGAACATGGTATTATTGTTATTTCCAACAAATTCTGGCTGAGTTTGATACTTCTTTTATTTCTCTGCTAATGTGTAATAATTATATATACTCTTTTACACAAATATTTTGTGAAAATTCAAAATCCATATCAATTTAAGCAGGATGAATGAAAGTATGGTTATGAGATGCCTTATTTGTAAGGAAGACTCTTCAGTGCTATATTCACTATCCAAAACCAGGAATATGTTCTGGTTTCCAGGAACTTATCCTAGACAACTGGCAAGAGTAGCACCAACAGCCGGAAATTCATCTAGGCAGCAACAGCATCACATAAACAACCATTTAATATTTGCTGATAATGCTACCTGCGTCGATACTTGGAGAGAATAAATATCAGCTTTAGTTAGTTATTAAAATCATACAATGTAAGTGTAGGAAGACATTGGAGATAATTTAACCCAACCTACTGTATAAGAATTAAACAGGAATGGTTGAACATATCTTACTATTAGGAAATGTTTCCTGATGTTCCACTAAAATCTAATGTACTTCCTTGTGATTTAAATGCACTGTTTCATGTTGTCTCTTCTGAAGCAACTGTGAATTGCCCTGCCCCTTCTTTGCATGACTCCAAGTAAGTTGTCGTGTCTTCCCAGGCTTCTTCAGACAAAACATGTTAGACATCTCCAACCCTTTCTAAAAGGATTTTCCTTTCATTCCATTTTCCACCTATTTATTTTCTTTTGGATATTCTTCAGTTTGTTAGTATCTTTCTTAAAATGCATTGCCAAACATTAGATGTAGTATTTTAGGTGTGGTCTGATCAAGATTGAATAAAGAGGATCAGTGGCTTTTCTTTAAGTTGCTATTACGTTTCTATTGATGCAGCCTAGAATTACATTTACAGTTTTAATAGATGCATTACACTATCATCTTATGTCTTGTTATGATTCACCAAAACATCCAGATCTTTTTTGTTGTATGCATTGCAAAAAAAAAAGGACTTTGATTTTTCGTCCCAGATTTTAACTGTTTGCATTTGCTGTTGTTGAAGTTTTGGAGGTTTGCCCATTATTTCAGTTTGTTAGGCGCTGTCAAACTTGCCTACACTGGAGTACCATATTATCTTCCTCAGCAATTTTCTGTCAACTCATTTATCAATATGTTGGACAGCATTGAGCTGTTGATAATCATATTTACTAATCCTTCAAATAACTTATAAATATGTTGAACAGCATGGAGCCTTGAATGGAACTCTACCATCTGCCACTGATATACATTTGTTTGAAACCGTACTGTCTTCGTGGCCTAGCCCAATGGTGGCGAACCTATGGCACACGTGCCAGAGGCAGCACTCAGAGCCCTCTCTGTGGGCATATGCGCCATTGCTCCAGCCCCGCCTCCCCCCGTAGTCCCCTCCTCACCAGCAGACCCCCCGGAGGAGAGTCACCCCTGGGCGCAGCCCGCGTGGAGCCACACAGCCAAGGACATGGCAGCTGGGCAGCGGGGACAAGATTCCACCCTCGCGCTCTGTCATGCGCAGATGACACTGTGGGGCGCAGGTGGAGGGCGTGGCCACCATGGCGCTGCTGGGCCGCCTGGGCGATCTGCAGTGGGCTGTGGAAGCGGGTGGCCCTGTGGGTGGCCGGGCCGTGGGGCAGTGTGGGAGGCAGTGCGGATGCGGGGCAGGGTGGTTTTGGGGCACTCGGTCTCTAAAAGGTTCGCCATCACTGGCCTAGCCTATATTTTACCATGTTCTTTACTATTGGGGTTGGGGATCCCTACTGTAGAAGACTCTCTGAAAATACAGTGGTATCCTAAGCTACTCCCTAATTTTTTTTGCAATTATTTTTTAAGTAATAACATTTTTTTTTTAAAAGTTTCAACCATACTTGTTCCCTCAGACCTAAAATTTTTGCCTAGTACTGGCTCTCTTGAAGCCTAAGACGTCACTGAGGAATTTTTCAGACTCAGTTTTGGCTGAGTAGGTTTTTCCCACAGATATCTGGATTGTTGAAATCTCCCAATATTACCATGGTATGTTTTTGCTCCCTGAAAGTTCTGCACTCTACCTCAGTAATATCCAGATCGCCTATCTTGACAGACTATAATATATCTTCACAATAATGCTTATTTTTGTTTACCTTTCCATGAACGCTTACTAATGAATTACAGCAAATAGTACCAGTTTATTTTTGCATTTGTACATACACTTTCAATAACATGTTAAAACTATTGTCTTATTTATTATTATTCTGGAGTATCATATTTTTAAAAATCAATTATTTGTTTGATAATTCTACAACTGTTTTATGTTGTTGAATTGTTAATCCTTGCAGATTGACTTGCCTTGCCAGGAACTTTCAGGTTCAGATGTGAAAATAAATACCCAAATATGCTCAAATGGAGCTCCATATTCATATTTCTGGATCTCAATATGTATATGCAACTCCTTCACATCTATTGCCATTAATATCCCATTTCTCTGGCTTGTCTTTTTCAGTTTTACATTTTAGTCCTTGCATTCCTTTATTGAGATTTCTCTGTCCAGTTTTCATCAATCATCTCTACTCTATTAAATTTTATTTGCCTTCTAGCATTGACATTTCTATTTCTTATAATCTGTATATCAGAATTGATTTCTGTAAATCAAGAAAATCTTAACTAAATGTACGTACCTCTAGTTTTTTCTGGTTGAAGACTTTAAGTGGTGTAATTTATCTTTTTTTGTTTGCTGCTAGAAATTTTGATCCAACAAGGATAATTATGAACTATGAATTAAAGGCAGAGTATCTAAGCAGGAATTAATGTAACATGGGAACCCTAAAAGGAAATCTTCCACACATTCACTCAGCGGTTCAGCTCTTTACCCTAAACCTGACACTTTAACCCCTAATCTGTTCCTTACCCGTTACATAACACATTCACCCATCTAGGCCTACTGAAATGGACAATCCAGAAACAGTAGGAACAGGGGTGGAGACATACCTCTGAACCTGAGACACAAGAGAAAAGGGCCCACAACCATCCCCCTCCCACTTAACCCCTCTTGGCTTCAAGGAGATAGTGTAAAAGTACTTAGCTTTGAGACAGGATCTCAACATATTGTTCTGCTCAATCCTGGACAAGCCCCAGTTTTAGTAAATTATTTCCCCCATGAATCAATTTACAACTGGAAACCCCACAATCTACTTGAACCACGTTTATTTGGACAGCAGTGGGTTCAAACTGCAAGGTTCTGCCTACTGAAGGAGCTTACAAACAACCTTTATATAGTTGTATAATAAATGCTGACAGTAATGATGACAAATGTCAATCATAACATGGGCTAGATTTTCTGCTTATAGTGATATAAGCTATATAGTAAAGTGGAGGTTGACATTGATGAGTTTTTGTGATTAGTTACTATCCAGCCTCCATAAAAAATGCAAGTCCTGATTTAAGATAACTCATGAGCTAGCATCTCAGATATTGTCATCTACAATTATGAAAGTCTGTTTTAGAAGCATACAGAGCAATGAATGTATCTTCCAATGTGAAGCAGGTGAAGTACATTCATTAACACATATTTTTCTTGCATAGTTTTATAGAAAGGATCTGTATGATTAATATTATACCAAAATATACTGATGGATCCCTGCAGTGGCATCTGTACTGTTTTTAATGGTTATTAAAATGGTAGACATATTAGCTATATTTCTGTTTTCTGAATGAAACCTTATATGTGGTGGCTGTTTCATTTTTAGGATCAAGCACAGCATAGAGATTCAACTGAACAATCTGACTTTGCAGTATATATGATGGATAGGCATTGCCTGAGTTGTTTCTTAATGCTTATATAAGATTAAAGGTAAGGCATGGTAAGTGATACTGTATCTTAGAATTTTAAATCTATTTTTTTCATAATGTGTGTATTTACATCTTTGATATTTTTCTGATATGGCAATGTTATAGAGTTCTTCTCAAAAATAAATTTGATAGAATGTATAGGTAGTCCTTGACTTATGACTATTTATTGATTATTTTAATTAAAGATGGTGGCGAAGAAAGTAACTTACAACTGGTCTTTGCACTTATGACCGTCACTGCCTCCCCATGATCACGATTCAGGCACTTTGCAATTTGCATGTGTTTACAATGGTTGCAGTATCCTGGGATTACATGATCACAATTTGCAAACTTCCCAGTCAGCTTCCAATAAGCAAAGTCAATTGAATTGCTTAATAACTGTGACATTCACTTAACAACTGTGGCAAACAGTTCCAAATGTGGTTGTAAGTTGAGGACAACCTATACAATAATTTTAAAATGCACTGGATACCTCCCAGATGAATTGTAACATGCTCAACATGGAGTTGCCCTTGTAGAGCACTTGGAAGCTGAAGCGGGTGTAAAATGCAGTGGATCAGGCAGTTCTAAGCACTCCTCAAGCAGTGCACTTTACACCTCTGCTCTGTGAGCTGCACTGGCTACCAGTATGCTTCCAGGAGCAATTTAAGGTGCTAATGTTGACCAATAAAACCTTACTTAGCATGGGACCAGAATATTTGATATACTGTGTCTCCATGGTTATATCTACTGTACTATCTCATCAGATCCAGCAGGAGAGGCATTACAGGTCCCATCGACTAAGGAATGTCATCTGATGGGACCCAGGAAAGGAGCCTTTTCTGCCATGGCGGCTGCCCTTTGGAACATCATTTTCCCCCAGTACTTAGATTGGCACCTTCCCTTCTGGCATTTAGGAAGGGTTTGAAGACTTGGCTGTGCCATCATGCCTGGTGGTCCAGCAATAGTGGTGAGCCTTTGGCTATATTAAATGGATATGACTGTGAATATGTCTTATTGAATTTTTAATTATGGTTTTAGATTAGTTATATGCTGTTGTGTTTTTTTCAACTATTTGTACTGTGGTTTTATTGTGAGACTCTGAGACAAGGTTGAACTCTTAAAAGAAAAAAAAATCATTGTGATATAAACTGTCACAAAACTGCTGAAACATTAACATTCCCATCTAGAAATTGGAACGATAACTGAAAATGTTTTTATTCTTGCAGTTCTGAAAAAAATCCTGGGAAATATTTGATCCTGTACATTATTTATAGGTGATGATGTGCTGCCAATCATTTTATAATCAGTAAAGTGAAATAAAAGCATAGTTAGATGCATTTTTCAAAATTGACCACTTCAATTTCCTCAGAAAGCATTTTTCATTAAGGTTTGTAGTGAGGATACTAAACTAATTGAATTTTAGGAAACAAAATTGTACCTTTTATGTTCAGCTAGTATTAGAGAATTTTGTTTAAAAGTCTGGGGAATAAAATTTCAGAAGCAGTACAGTACTGGAGGATTGCATACTTAGGATAGTTGGTACCAAATCTCCAAGTGCGCACTATTCTGTCTTCTCTTTTTTGTCAGTCATCTGATTAATTTATTTATTCATGACCATTTTCTCTATCTTTCACTCACATTCCTTTACATATATGCATTTATCTATTATGCAGAGAGCAATGTAGCCTCAAATAACCTTCATACCCTCTCTCATACTTTTTCATTCCCATAAACGTACTCCCATCTTTTCCTTCCATACATATCTTCCCTTTCAAACTCCCAGACTAAGTATAGCTTAGTCTGGGAGTTTTTTTACTATTTTTTTTTTTACCATTCCTGCGGTTTCTGTTACTAACGTATTACTTCATTGTATCTGCAATGAAGGGTTGGAAATACTTCTTTTTCTTCTAAACTGTTTGAAAATAAAGCTGAAGCAGGTACTTCTAATAGAGACAGAAAAGGCTATTGATTTATCTCTTGATAATTTGAGACTATTTGCCTCAGACTATTTTGAATGGTGCCTACTACACAGTCTAACCATCATAGAGTATGTATGTAGATTGCTATGTGTTCGCATACATAGATTTTAAAATGTATGATTTCTTTCAGCATTTGAAATATGTGAAGTTAGAGACTGATAAAATAAATATTAATAAAAATTTAGTAAGGTTTGAATCCTCAGTGCTTATGAAATTTGCTCTATTGACATCTTATATTGGAAATGAAACATTTATATTTATTAGAATTGTAAATAATGCTTTGCTCTTTTTTCCTGCCCTATAAATTTCCCCCCCACTATCTCTCTTCCTTTCCATTTGTAGACTAGATTTGTCATTGTTTTAATTTATAGTAGAATAACATGAAGGTGAGGATGCTGATATGAGTGACTGCGTATATTTTGCAACCAGTTGCCAAGTGCTCTGGCAGTTATTTGTTTAGTCCAGAAGTTACAGAATAGGAAACTTTATCTGAATTTTATTTAAATTTTATCATCCAATATGTAATTTTTTAGCATGTTATGTTCCTTTTCTTTAGCTTTTTTTCAATTGTAGATAAAACCTTGTTCAAGAATTGTGTCCATTGTTAAAAATGATTCGGAAGAAGTGCTTTGGATCTTGTGAGTGTAATGATTGACTGCTACTACTTAAAGAGCCACATTTTTTCCATGCTTTCATTTGAGCCTGAAAAATTATGTGGTTGCTTTAATAAGTTGACTTATTAAAGAAATTCTTAAAATAGGCATAGTCTTCTTTTCAGGCTCAGGCAGAAGCTTGAACAAAAATATGACTACTGCAATGAGTAGCAGAGTCCTTGTGCAATGCCTGAAGCACCTTTGAAATGTGCACAGACGATGCATGTTGCACGGCAGAGTGGGCCTTAGAGTTCTTCCTACAAATTGATACTATAATTATGCTTTGACTCAAGACCTCAGGAGAAATAGAAATATAGCAAGGTGATCAATGTGTTAATAATTGCCACATAAAGCAAAAAGCCACATGCTTACTTATTTGCTTTATTATTTACAAGAACATGTAAAGACAGATACCAAAAGCAAAGTGTTTGCGCTGTGCACTAGGGCAGAGGTCCCCAACCTTTTGGGCACCAGGGACCAGTTCTGTGGAGAAAGGTTTTTCCACAGACCGGAGGGTGCGTGGTTTTGTGTGCTTCCTGCATCCCACGGATGGGGCTTTGCTTGTTTGCGCGGCCGGTTGCTGACATGCCGCGGCCCAGGACTGGTCCACAGACCAGTGGTCTGCTGGACTAGGGAATAAAGAATGATGGATGCCATTTACTTGTGTCAGTTTCAATTTATTTCACAGTAAATTGGGATTGCTAGAGAAAAAGTGGTAGATACCAATACTTTTGGCTGATCTGTTCTCTTAGAATATTTCTGCAATTTAATATTTGGAAATTCAGCAGTTATTAATTTATTAACCTCAAAACCTTTCAACAAACCAGTCATGATTTAATTGCTTGTAACAGATTTGAGCAATTACATGTTAATGTTAAAATATTTCATATTCATTTTATATGTCATTTATATGCATGCGTAGTTAGGAAGAGAGGAATGAAAAATAATAGAATTTCATCACGTGATGTTTTTGAACTACTATAAAATGTCTTGATACTTAAAGGAAATGTAATTGTATCTTGGTAATCTGCAAATACCATCATAAATTTTCATAACTGTCTACTTCACAGGTTCAAACAAGATTCTGGGTGACATTCCTCACAAATGGAGAACTATTTCCAGACAGAGGCTTATAACCTTGATAAGGTTTTAGATGAATTTGAACAAAATGAAGGTGAACAACTTTTGTTAGGACTGGAAACATAAACTGAATTTAGGTCTAGTGTTTGCCTGTATTTCCTATCCACTGTAGTCATCTATCCATTTGCTGGAGAGAGAAAAAAAGAAAACAGCACTGGGTAACTTAATATTTTATTAGGTAGAAACACACTTAAATGTTTTAAAATTTTTAGTCTGATATGAATTATGTTCCCATATTCATTGGATAAGAAAAGTTGATAATTATATAAATCTGTATCTTGCTGATAACTAGGACAGATAAAATATTAATTGGTTATAACTCAAAGATAACGGATACACTTCCTGCTATAAAGAACTGTAACTTTCCATTACCTCTTGTTATTCAAGTTCACAATTATAACTTAAGTATTAAGTATGCACTTAAGTATACTTAATACAGAAAGATGTCCTGCTACTAGCATTTATGATCATAGATTGCTAATTCCACTACCTCATGATAAGACTGGAGTTGAATCTTCTGTAAGTTTGCATACTGCATTAGGTCTGGTAGCAGCGGACTTTCCTTCTTTTTCCTTTCTGTGGCAGTCGCTTTGAATTACATAACTGTAGACAGAATTGTGGAAATTCTTTTGTGTGGGGAAGCTATGATGTCAAGGGCTTGGAGACACATAGGAAGCAATTTGATGGGGCATGCGTACCAGTTACAGGCAGAAGGGCTTAAGGCCTCTATTACCTTTTGTTTGCACTGGTCCTTCATAAAAATCCCAGAATAAAAATTTAAAATTTTTTGTCTGTTTTTAAAAATAATTTCATGGAAATAGTGGTTGTGATGGTCTTGCTTTTGCTGTATGTGCTCAGTGTTGAGCAATCTTTTATTGGGGTCCCTCAAATTACAGCTATTTGGGCTCAGTAGACCCTTTCATTTCTTTGAGGATAGCTAGTTACTAACTACATTGCTTAGAAATATTCAAAATATAGGAACAACCCACATGCTTAGGAAAGAAAAAAAACATTTTTGTTAAAATAGGTGTAAATGTATTTTTGCTATTAAACAAAGATACAAAGTGTTCTGGATGTTTATATAGCACCAGGATATGTTAAAGTTTCACAGGGCATTTTAACTTTAAATTCCTAATTAATTTATGCCTGTGATTGATTTAGTCTCTATTATTGTCTTATACACAGCTGAGCTGGAGCTGCTTCCCATTTTTTTTATCTCAGCAGGAGGCCTTCATAGTTCATATTTTCCAGATTATTTTTCCATTTGAAATTGCAGTTTTGTTGTGCTAGGACAGTGATGGCAAACCTTTTAGAGACTGAGTGCCCAAACTGCAACCCAAAACCCACTTACGCATCGTCGGGTGCCGGGTGGGCGTGGTCCATTGGGTGGGTGTGGCCCATTGGGTGGGCGTGGCTGTGGTGGTAAGGGTAGACTGGATGGGACTAAAAAGTTCAATCAATCAATTCCAACTTTGCAAGATCTTTTTTTTTCCCAAGAAGTTGAAATTGACTGATTGAACTTTATTTTTGCACATGGCAGCAGAGGCCTAAAGCGAAAAGGTTTTATAAAACCCAGCTGAAGGCCTAGGACTGGGGCGACGATGCGGGTGCCCACAGAGAGGGCTCTGAGTGCTGCCTCTGGCACATGTGCCATAGGTTCGCCACCACTGTGCTAGGAATAAGGTTTTAAACCATTGGTTTTGTGACTGTTTAAAAAGATTTTGATGAGCTTAAAATTATTTTAGGAAAATGGCAAAAGAGAGGAACTAGGATTTAAAATGCACTTTAAAAATTCATTTATTTGTTTGTTTGTTTATTTTCCGCATTTCTTAACTATCCTTCTCCCTGAGAGAGGAGCTCTGGGCCATGTACAATATAGTCAATATAATTAACATTAAAATCAGAATAATTTAAGATGTTGTGAGTTCCTCTGTAATAAAGAACTTGAGGTGGATAGGAATGATAATTTT